TCTCTGTAGTAGCTACCTTCTTTGTTATGGCCTCTTGTCTCCCTTTAGTTGTGGATTTTGTTGTCAGGCTTCAGGTCAGTTTCTGGGGTATTTGGGATGATTTTGTAGTTAATGATATTTGTGGGTTGAGGTGAGCCTTGCTCTGCTGCCATCTTACCCTGTCCTGGATTCCCTTTTCTTTTTTACTACAGGTTTTCAATTTGTTGTTCATAAACAACTTAGGTTTATAGCAGTCCCTTTTAAGTTGATGCTTAAGTTTAAACCCTTTCTCATGGGTTGCATTTTTTACTCATTCCTCACATTTTATGTATATGCCTTACTTGACATCCTCTTATTTTGTGAAACTCTTGACTGATTTACATAGATAAAATTTATTGTCCTGCATATGTGCTCTAACCTCCATACCAGTTTTGTTAAGAGAATAATCTACTTTTATTTGCATTTAGCTGTGAAATTTTTTAATTTCATAATTTTCTTACTTCTGGTTATGGCTTTGCCTCCCCAAGAATTCTCTTTAACTTTCGTTGGTCTGGGGAACCATTTCTACATATATTCTATGTATATATATGTAGTGTGTTCTTGGTTGCATTTTTTCTTTTCAGTACTTTGAATGTATCATGGCACTCCTTCTGGTCTGTAGATTTTGTACTAAAAACTTATCTGCTAGCTTTACGGGGTTTTGCTTGTATGTAACTTTTCTCTTGTAACTTTAAAATTCTCTTTATCAGTACTTTCTGCCATTGTAATTACTATACGCTTTGGTGTAGATCTCCTTGGGTTAGGTTGGTTGAGGCTCTCCATGCCTCCTGGATCTGGATGTCTGCTACCTTCCCCGGGTTAGTAAAGTTTTCAGCTATTACTTCTTCAAATTTTATTGCTTGTATCTCTCTATTCTCTTTCTGAGATCCCTACAATGCAATTATTGTTATGCTTGATGATGTTGCTGAGATTCCTTAATCAGTTTTTATTACTCTTTTTCTCTTTAGCTTGGCTGATGTCTGTTATTCTCTCTTCTACATCACTGATCCTCTTGCTTCGTCCAGTCGACTAATTCCCTCTAGTGTATTTTTAACTTTAGTTATTGAGTTCTTCATGTTTATTTTTTATATTTTCTCTCTCTTTGCTGAACATAGCACTGAGATCTTACTTCTCTCAAGTCCACTGAGTAGCTTTGTGACCATTACTTTAAATTCTCTCAGGTGTATTGCCTGTCTCCGTTTCATTTAGCTCTTTTACCGTGGTTTTGTGCTGGTCTTTTTTTTTTTTTTTTTTTTCTATCTTTAAAGATTTTATTTATTTGTCAGAGAGAGAGGGAAAGAAAGCGAGCACAGGCAGACAGAATGGCAGGCAGAGGCAGAGAGAGAAGCAGGCTCCCCGCCGAGCAAGGAGCCCGATGTGGGACTCGATCCCAGGACGCTGGGATCGTGACCTGAGCTGAAGGCAGCCGCTTAACCAACTGAGCCACCCAGGCGTCCCATGTGCTGGTCTTTCATTTGGTTTATTCCTTTATTCAGTCTGTTTGTTTCTATGTATTGGGGAAGTCAGGTACCTCTCCTCTTGAAGTGGCCTTTGGAAGAAGAGTTCCTCGGGTGCCCTATAGCACAACCCCCCTGTTCAGCAGGACCAGGTGCTTCAGAGCTGTCTCCTATGTGGGTTGTTTGTGCCCTACTGTTGTGAGTGACCCACGTTTGCTTTCAGTTGCAGTCAGTTGCAATAGGCTACTAAGCCTATTGTGGGTACACTGGTTTGGTCCCTGTGCTGTTAAGGGGCCAGTGCAGGGGCCACAATGGTCCTAGAGTTGGATGCTGTCAGCAGTCAGACCCATGCCTACCCCCACCTGTCTGCCAGGGTTGTAGTCTCATGGACCTGCAAAGCATTCTGACCTCCTTGTCCCAGGGGACTTCTGCTGATAGGCCAGGGCCTACAGTCAGGCCCAATGCCTGCTCCCAGGCCCAATGCCGCTCCCAGCCTGTCTGCCGGGACTGTGGGTACAAAGGGGTGTGTGTGTGTGTGTGTGTTATCTTCCCCTCTCCTCGAGGTAGGAGTCACTTTGGAGTGGTGTCAGTTCCTGCTGCTGCTTGTAGGGTATGTTGAGACAGAAGCTACATTGCAGACACCTGCCAAATGGGGTGAGTTGGATGGGTCAGATATGCAGAACATGGGGGTGGAGCATAAAGTCTTAGGCAAGATAGATGGAGTATGCTTGTTCTACCAAGTGTCTACCTATCTAGCCTGTGGATGGAGGGAAAGGTACCTGTCAAATATTTTGTTCTTGGAGAACTCTTCTGTCCCTTCCCCTTTAGCACAAATAGGTATTAGTCAATATTCATGTATACCCCAGGCACTTTTCAAATTGCTACTTCTATGCTATAACTCAGGCAGGTTATGGGCCTTTAAGGCCAGAGAATCAGTTTCCTATGGCCCTCAGCTCTCCTGAAGCTAAGTATGTGAATTTTAAATACTCAGTGTTAGGCCCTGATGATTGCAAAACTAACAAAGTTAAGCGCCTTTGGTTTTCAAAGACAAATGTTAAGGGGACTTGTCTTCCTGGTGCAGGTCCCCTGTGTCTCAATGAGGGTTTAATTCCTAACCATGTCTCCACCCCACTCCTACCCTTTTAGCTGTGGCCTCTTATCCACCATGAATTGTGGGAACTCTGTTCTGCTGGTCATTTTCTGAGCTCACTCATGTGACTTATCTCAGTGTGTTCCTTGGAAGAGGTGAGTTCAGGATCTTCCTAACTCTTACCATCTTCCCTGAAGTCTTCTGCTGTCCCCCCCTCCACCACCCCAGAAATTAGTTTCCATATAGTTTCTACAGTGGCTTCACTAGTTTATATTCCCACCAACAGTGCAAGAAATTTCTTTTTGCCACATCCTCATCAACACTTGTTCCTTGTCTTTTTGATTCTAACCACTCTGACCTGTGTATAGTGATATCTCATTGTGGTTTTGATTTGCATATTCCTGATCATTAGTGATGGTGACCATCTTTCCATGTCTGTTGGCCAGCCATCTGTATGTCTTCTTTGGAAAAAGTGTCTATTTGGGTCCTCTACCCATTTTTAAAAATCAGATTATTTGGGATTTGCTTTTGGTGTTGAGATGTGTAAGTACTTTATATATAGTGTATATGTTAACCCTTTATTGGATATATCGTTTGCAAAAACCTTCTCCTATGCAGTAGCCTGCCTTTTTGTTTGTTGGCTTCCTTTGCTGTGCAAAAACCATTCATTTCCCTGAAGTCCCACTAGCTTAATTTGTTACCTTGCCTGAGAAGATACCCCTAGAAAAATGGTGTTAGAGCCAATGTCAAAAAATTAATGCCTGTTTTCTTCCAGGAGTTTTAGTCTTAGTTCTCACTTTTCGGTCTTCATTTGGTCTTCTGCTTTTGTATGGTGTAAGAACATGAGGCCCAATTCAGTGCTATGTAGAATGTAAGTGGTAAAAGTGGACATCCTTGTCCTGTTCCTGATGTCAGAGGAAAAATTCAGCCTTTCACTATTGAGTATGAGATTAGCTTTGTGTTTTCTCATACAGTTTTTATTATGTTGAGGTATGTTGCCTCTAAACCTGTATTGTTGAGTTTTTATTACAAATGGACGTTGTATTTGCCAAGTGATTTTTCTGAATCTATTGAGATCATGTGGTTTTTATCCTTTCTCTCAATGTGATATAGCCTGTGATTGACACATTTGCAAATACTGAGCCACAACTGCAACCCTGGAGTAAATCCCTTGATTGTGATGAATGATTTTAACGTATTGCTGTATTTAATGTATTGTATGTATTGTTGGATACCGTTTGCTAATGTTTTGTTGAGAATCTGATACCAAAAAACATATACAAATACTACCAAACCCCCCCCCAAAAGCATAGAGGCCATTATCTCTGATGAACCTAAATACAGAAATCCTCAACAATATACTAATGAGCCTCACATACCATTTTAAATCTTTTACCCACAAAAAGACAAAAACAGAAAAAACTTTATAAATTTTATTTAACATACTATATACCAAAAATAGAATTTCACCAATATACAAAATTGAGATATTTTACATTATTTGTACATCTTCAGAATCTTGGACTTTATACTGATAGCACATGTTAATGTGTATTAGCCATATTTTAAGGGCTCAATACCCACATTAAATGGTAGGAAAAGAAATTGGTCTGTATCTTTGCATTGTTTGGTCTTAGTGACTACTACTCCCCAAATTCTATATTCTATCATTAAAGATTTGGATCAAGATATACTACTAGCAGAATTTAAATATTAAAATTAAACCATGTGAAACCAGTGTAATATCGGATACTAGAAAAAGGCAACAGAATAGTTGCCATGTGAAGTTCATTTCATCTACCCATCCTCTTAGAGATATTAACACAGCTAACAGTGTAGACAGTCTTGTTGTTAGTATTTATCAGAATTACTAACTCTCTGTATTTACTCACGTATGTGTGCGCATCTGTATCTCCTGTGACACTCCATAATGGAAGGAACCACATCTTTCCTTAGATGTGTTTACACACAGCCATATGGTCAGGTACTGTTAATTCAATGAATGTGGCCAAGCTTTGATTATTAGCTTGAAACAGCTTGTCATTTCATTACTCAGTGTTTCCTAGTAGTTAAAAAGTCCACATTTTCTCAATGAAATTGTCTTAATCATTAAGTAGTTGAGAAATTCCCACTAGGACAAATAGCATTTATCATGTCTTAATCAGACTTTACTGCTCCAAACACAGCAAAAGCAGAATAGTATAAGGAAACAGCCTTCTCTATCAACCTCCCTCCATCTGGAAGGCAAGAATAGTCAACTGTTAATAGTGGCATGGTTCTTAACAGCTCTGGAGACTTCAGGAACTCCTTTGGCAAACCATTCTAACTTGAGCCCAGAAACACGGTGGCAGCCATGACCCGCCCCCCCCCCCCCCCATAAAAAAAACAAGAAAAAAAATCACACCCATTAAAAAAAAAAAAAAAAAAAAAAAAGCTCCAACTCATTCTTAAATGATATGAATAACACTATATTACAAAGTCCTTTTGCCAGTCTTCAGAGTATAGAAATAATTTTATTTGAAATGTAAAAACTGGGAAAATGTTAAGACTTGAAAGAGTAACTCTTACCTTTTTATTTTGTATACAATAAAATGGCTGTTTAATAATATTGGTGTTTCCCACGGTAATGATCACATTAATAATTTAAGCACCAAAAACTCCTAATCAAATGTTTCCTGTTTTGTAGACTACAGGAATACACGAGCATTTCATACCATTCCCACATTTATCCATCTTTTATCTAAATCTTTAAAAAGCTGAATATTTAAAATGCATTAAAGAAAATTACTTTTCCCTTTTCTTTTTAGGTGAGTGTTCCAAAAGTGGGGTGAATTCAGCTTCCTCACTGTGTTTTCTTTTCTTTTTTTTCTTTTTATGGTCACTCTGGTAACCGCTGGAGTCACTGCCTTGGAAAACAGGATCCTGGTCCTGATCTTCCTGGTGCTTTTTCTTCTTCTTCTTCTTTGGTTCATCCTTCCAGAGGTCATTATCAATCTGCAGGTCTGTCTCTTTGTTCATTGTGGCATCTGCATAATCTGCTAGCTCTCTATTACCACTTTCCACTTCATATGACTCTGGGTCTTTCTTCTTTTTCTTTTTCTTTTTGAGAGGTTTTTCAATAATTTCTTCAGGGCCAGCTTCTGTTATTTCTTCAGAAACTCCAGAGCACTTGGTCTGTAAACTGAATTAACAGTTGAAAAAATTTACAGAGGACTAAACAAAAGGAGTAAGATGAGATCAAGAATATACCAAGTGTTTTTTTTCTAAATGACAGCAGGACAAGATAAAGTATGGCATAAATTTCTAATATTCTGTTATCCCTTAGCCCATTAAAATGTCTGAGAAAGGTTACAATTTTTTCTAAAGTACTTCTTCCAGACTGTTTTCATACACAGAAATGGCAAATTTTATCAAAAGTAGCTTCTAAATTTAGGTTTGGTTTAGAAAAAAATTGGTTACAATAAACCTCACCCTACCATGTGTGGCTATTAGCCACACATCTGACTAGTGATAAAATACAGTTCCATTATCCATGAAATTAATGGAGTTTATCTACTCTATCAATCCTCATTTCATTTTTTTCTCGTAACAGTGCTTGAAGCGATTATTACTTTCAAAGTTATGAGTTAACACTAAAATAAAAACAAGGATCAATGCAGTAGCCCTCTGGAACTGCAGAGTCCTATGTAGTGATATTAGCTACAAATGACTAAGATACTACACAAATACACCAGACATTTCTATCATCACAGAAAGTTCTATTGGACAACAGTTCTAAAATGTTAACCCATACTTTTAATAATCAAGGCAAAATCTAAAAAAAAAATTAACACCAGCAATACTCCCAAAGCTGTTTTTTCTTCTTCACTCCATTCTCAAGATGACAATAGTTCTTACAAGAATTTCAATACCAGAAAATTAAATTATCTACCTGGCATAATGACAATCAAATTTTTTCTTTCAGCTGTGTAAAAATAGAAGCCTAAGAGCTATGCAATATGATCAAGCTTTTGGTTAACAAATTAAACTAGAAAATAGTAAGACCGAGTTAGTAAAATACAGAAGAGTTAGGTAGATGTGTAGAGCTTCAGAATATTCAATGCTTTGCCACAGCACTTAAGATTCCTATTTACATTGATTTTATGGTTTAGAAGCATGGAAATTCTAATAAAACTTATTTTAAATGAGGGGCTTATGTTATTCAGAATTAAACAGAAATGACTAAGTATCAAAATTAAAATAATCTGATTAGGAACTGACCTAGTGATATTTAATTTTCCCCGAATGCAGAATACTCCAGCAGCATCTGAGTCCAAACGAAATACTTCAAATTCTAGTTCATCACCCACGTTTATCTCCAGATTCTGCCACTGTTCAGCAGGCATATGCTCAGGTTTAGGGATGGAGGCATTGAAACACCCATGTACTAAACAGCCAATGTGGCTGGAGGACACTTTATTAACCGTACCCTGGGAAGAAAGGAGGGAAAAAAAAAAAATCAAGAAATCCAAAGACTTTAAAAAGTAAGTGAAACTTAAGCTTCAAACTGATCTTCAAAGAGAAAACATCCACAATATGGTGTAATTTGATATAGGAAAAGTTTTTAAAATTTACGTTATACTAAACCATTATTTTAGAATACTAGCTTTTAGAAAGCCCAAACTTAGTAAGTAATTGCATATCAACTGCCTAACTGGATAAACAACTACTCTTCCTACCCCTAAAGAAGCAAAAACAAAACAAACTCCTTAGCTCCCACTACAGGATTCCCTGGGGAATAGATTATAACCATACTGAAACCAAGCAGAAAATACTCTTTGATATAACCTAAATGTGGAAAGACCTCAAAGCAGGAAGCATATGCTTTCTATAACTGGGAGCCATATTATATTTCTATAAACAGTCTGAGCCCTCTTTAGCTTCTTCCTTAACTTCAGCAATGTATCAGAAGACCGTTTACCCTTCCTATGTAGATCCTGAACAGGGCTACTTTGAATCACAATAACATTTTTAGGAGCTTTAAAATACATGCTATATGATTTTAAGCTCAAAGTTTTTTAAAAAGCCTTAGTTTTCTTCCCCTAAGAATCAACATATGTAACATACATAAATGAACATCTGAAACACTTTTTTAAAATCATCTGTTTTAAACTTTGACATTAACATGTATGCAGCCTTGTTTAATGTTAGCAACATAGAAAATTCTTTGGCTGTCATTATCAAAAGGCTGGTGTTCCCAATGGCACATGCTGGATGGTATGGACAAACTGCAGTGCAGCTATACACTGGAGTACTTATTCAACAGTAAAACAAAACAAAACAAACCTATCAAGCCATGAAAAGAAATGCATACTGCTAAGTCAGAGGCAGCAAGCTGAAAAGGCTACATACAATAGGATTCCAACTATATGAAATTCCAGAGAAGGTAAACTCTGGAGACAGTAAAGAAGATCAGTAGTTGCCAGGTTTCAAGAGGATGGAAGGAGGGAGAGGGATAAACAGATAAAATACACAGAATTTAGAGCAGTGCCCAATTATTCTATAAACTACAGTAACAGGGGACACATGTCATTGTGTTGTACATTCCATGGGTTTTAGGAGGTACAACAGAGAAAACTATTTTTTTAAAAAGTCTAGAATTAATGTATTGCTATCAGCTTAATCATAACCAATGTATCCTACTAACGTAAGATGTCACTGATAGGAGTAACTGTGTGCTGGAGTGAGAGAGCGAAGAGAGGTATTATTTTCAACTCACTTTTTCTGTAAATCTAAAACTGCTGTAAAAGAATAAAGCCTATCAATTTAAGAAATAACACAAAAGTAAACTCTTCAATATAGAATTCTGGAACAACTAAATAACCATATGAATAAGAAAATGGATTTCAAGGGCCTATTCACACTACACACAAAAATTAAAGATGGGTCATAGATCTAAATGGAAAACCTAAAACTAAAAAATCCTACAAGGCTTACAGAAACTATCTTCACAATCTAGGAGTAGGCAAGTTTCTTACATAGGATCCAGAAAGCAGTAACCAAAAAAATAGGACAAATTGGACCTCATCAATATTAAAAACTTCTGTTTATGAAATGATACCATTACAAGTTAAAAGACAAGTCACAGACTGGGGGAAAATATTCACAATACATTTATCTGACGAGGATTTGTAGAAAGACTATGAACAGAACTACTCAACCTCAATAATACAAAAACCCAATTAAAAATGGGCAAATTACCTGAATAGGCCCCTTATTGAAACACATGAAAAAGAGCTCAAAGGAGAAATGCAAATTAAAATCATAATGAGAAACTAGTATATGCCCCTAAGTAATATTAAAAGACTGACAAAACCAAATGCTGTCAAGGATGCAGAACAACTATTAGTGCTAAATGGTAAATTAGCCTGTTTTTTGTAAAGGTAAAAAAATACCTACCCTCTGACTTAGGAGAAATGAAAATGTACATTCACAGCTTTATTCATAATAGCTTTGTACTGGAAACAACCCAAATGTCAATCAATAAAGACAGGCAATTAAATTACGATACAATCATACAACCAAATACCATAAATAACAAAAAGAAATGAACTACCAATACACCAAACAGCATGGATGAAATGCAAAAACATGTTGAGCAAAAGAGGTCAGATTTTCAAACACTGTGTAATGAAAATTCCATTAACATGAAATTCAAGAATGAGTAAAACTAATTTTATAATAAATGCATTCAGAACAATGATTGTATCTAGAAGAGAGAAGACTGAACTGGAAAGGGCATGAGGCTCTTTCCAAAATAGAATGGTATATATGCTCTTAACAGAAATGATTGAACTGCACACTCTGATCTGTGCATTTTGTTGTATGTAAATTATACCTCATATTTAAAAAAAATGAACTGTCCAAATTTATTTAAAGACTGGAACTTGTAGGAAATAAAGTAAAAGGACTGATTTCTTTTTATTTCATACTTCCTGTATAGTATTTCCATGTGTACATTTACAGTAACTTACACAAAGCAGATACGTGTGGGAATTTTTAAGTACAAATCTACTGCCAATTTTATTAGAGAAGAAAAGCTATACTATAGCCATATTACTGTTATGGAGGCTGGTTGTAGGATCCCAGCTGGGCAGGCCCACAATACTCTACCACTTTAATTAATAATGAAAAACTTTTTTTTTTTTTTTAAAGATTTTATTCATTTCACAGAGATCACTAGTAGGCAGAGAGGCAGGCAGAGAAAGAGAGGGGAGGAAGCAGGCTCCCTGCTGAGCAGAGAGCCCGATGCGGGGCTCGATCCCAGGACCCCGAGATCATGACCTGAGCCGAAGGCAGAGGCTTTAACCCAATGAGCCACCCAGGCGCCCATGAAAAACTTTTTAAAATTAAAAATGTCTTGTAGATTCTGACAGTAAAATTTGACCTGTATTTTAGTAGCAATAAAGGGTTAGTTAATATTTCTTAAATGATTAAGCAATTCCTGTAACATTTTTCATTAAAAAAAAAAAAAGTATGTGTATGTAAAAGTGCAAACACACGGAAGTGCTGGTAGACGAGAAAGACAAGTGCAGAGCATAATGGGGTATAGTTCAGTCAACTTGCCATCAATCTATATATTTCCTGCTTCTCCTGAAAAACTAAAAGACCTACCCCACAGGGCCATGGCACATTATAAGTGCCCTGACCTCATCCTTCATTCACTTTCATTACCTGCCTGCTCCCACAACACTCTGAATTTTCAACTCCTCTGATACACTACTATATGATTTGAATCCTTTATAAAGAAACTATTTGTGTATAATTAAATAATAAACTTCACTGTTATTTTTTTTCCCACTGCTTAAGATCATTCTGGTGCTATCCAAAGAAGAGAATAAATTCTGAGACACATTCTCTGCACATTCAAGGAGGTTTAGAAAAATGGAGTTTAAAAACTTATCAATGTTGAATTGATGGTAAATTTTTTTAGGAACCAACAACAGCAATCCATTTGCTTCCCAAGTCTCTTAAAATTTTTCATATTACACTATTATACAACTATACAAAGAAAACTTAGTGAGAAACAAAGAAAATATATATATATATATATATATATATATATATATATATATATATATATATATATAAAAATACATACATACCATAAGCTTTTGTCCCGGTTCAGGACAGAAAATAACAAAATCTGCTTCGATGTTAAGATGAATGTGTCCTTGATCATCATAAATATCTCCCAGTTCACCCACTACTTTGATGTTGTCATATGCAATGGGGACACCTAAAAGGCTATTAAAAAAGAAAAAAAAAATTTAATCTTCTCTTAAACTAGGCCATTATCATACTGATTAAATATACTGAGTCTAAAAATTATATACCTCTTAAACATAACCTCACATGCCAAAACACAACAGCATATGATTAATCCCTAACAACTTGAGTAACTCACTTTCACCAAAGGGTTTCAAATATACTGATGAAGTTAAAAATGATTATTCAAGATAGGTACCCAGAAACAAAATGTCCAATTCTACATGAGCAGCAGGTTGATTAGCTATGCATTTGAATTCCAGTCATGCGAGAATGAGAGGAAAAAAAAAGACCTGCAAGAAAAATTTCTCTATTTCTGAGTATAACCGAATCAAGGCAATTTTGGTATTATCTACCATAAATGAAAATCTGCACTAGATGACCCGCAGTAAGAGAAGTATTAGAGTCAAAGCTGAAGCCCCTGAATTTTTTTTTTTAAGATTTTATTTATTTATTTGACAGACCGAGATCGCGAGTAGGCAGAGAGGCAGGCAGAGAGAGAGAGGAGGAAGCAGGCTCCCCACTGAGCAGAGAGCCCTATGCGGAGCTTGATCCCAGGACTCTGGGATCACGACCTGAGCCAAAGGCAGAGGCTTTAACCCACTGAGCCACCCAGGCACCCCAAGCCCCTGAATATTAAAGCCAATGACTTAAGGGAGAAAAATCCTCAAACTACAACTGTTAATAATAAATAGAGATGCTAATAAATGAAATACATAGTTTTACTTATTAAGACCTGATTTTGCACTTTAGTCTACACAGTACGACAGGATTGGGGGCAACTACGATTTCTAAATGTAATTTCCAAGTACTTAAGAAATTTTAACTACTAAGGAGGAACACCTGGTGGCTTCACTACCATACCCAATACTTTGTTCAAGAAAACTTCCCAGACTCTCCAAGGCAAGGCTGAAATCACTCCTCCTCTAAAAGACACAATGGCGGGGTGCCTGGGTGGCTCAGTCATTAGGCATCTGCCTTCAGCTCAGGTCATGGTCCCAGGGTCCTGGGATGGAGCCCCGCTTCGGGCTCCTTGCTTGGCAGGAAGCCTGCTTCTCCCTCTTCCATTCCCTGTTTGTGTTCCCTCTCTCCTTGTCTCTCTCTCTGTCGAACAAATAAAATCTTTAAAAGACACAGTTACACAGCATCATCACTGAACTTAATCTCATTTTATTGACTATTTGTGTATATTTGCATTCCACACACTACCCTAAGATCCTTGAGAGCACAGAACGTTTTTGTCGAACTCTACTAAATTTCTAAAACTACTCACATAGCATAAGAGAAAGAATTTATCCCTAACAGCTGTTGCTTAAATAAAATAGCCAGAAACCACTGGAAAGGAACTTTAATAACTATCAACTCAAGACCAAAAACTCAAAAGACTTACTCCAGAAAGCATTTTTTTTCAACTGTTAATTTCAGCATGTGTTTTCCCAAGCAGAAACTACATCACTAGGACAGTCGTCAAGGCACAAAAAACGCAGAAGTCTACATGACCTCTGGAAGAGGTAATAAATGGACTTATAAATAGGTGGACACTGAATCTCATTCTAAATACTATGTATATCTATATATATATATGTGTGTGTATATACATATATATGCATATACACACTTCTTTATATCTATACATATATCTAAAATTTGTATGCGTGTAAATACATATATACTTTATATATTTATATATACACACATGGACACACACATATATAACATATCAACATCAAGTCATGTTTGCATCATTTCAATGTACATTAAAATTTCCAGGAAAGAAGTAGCAAATTCAAGGGTAGATTAAATAGGAAACTCTACTGAGAACTACTCACTACTTCAGAAAAGCATTTCACCAATGGAGAGACTGTATTTTTTCTCTGAGTTGTCAACTCAAAACCCCTGCTACATCAATCCACCTTTGTAACAGAGCTTTGGACATACAAATTTGTTTTCCAAATAAAATACTAAAAATATTGATTGCTAAACATAGGTTTGTCTACTTTTGTTTTATTACAGAAAAAATAAGGATAAATTTGGATCTGTTCATAAACATGTTTTATGCTTATTGAAAGATTGCACTAGAGAGGGGGGCTGACCCTGGGTGGGAGGGACTCCTTGAGGGCAGAGAGGGGAAAGAAGACCTCACCCCAGGTTGGGGGGCTGCACTGACAAGACAAATCCCTGTAACATTTGGCTTTGAAAACCAGAGGGGCCTGGCTTCTCCGTGTTATTTTGTTTTTTGTTTTGTTTTTAAATAATCAACATGTTATTTTGTTTTTAAATAAATATTGATTTACAAATCAATAGCCTCAATACCTTAAGAGGTAGGAGGGGGATAGAAAACGGAGTCCCTGCCCTTGAAGAGACAGCACAACAAACAGCCCAGCTGAGATACAGCACAGAAGCAGCAGTTTGAAAAATACCTAGGGTACACAGGAAGGAGATTTATTTAATAATCTCAGAGCATGGGCTGGAGAGGCAGGGAACTTTGGGAGATTTCTTCAAGAACAAAAGAGCGGGTGGGCACCACTTCCCTCCCCAGTACCCACCCCATCCTGAATACAGGGACAGCTGTAGGACTCAACACAACACTAAAACCTCCACCTAGCTTGCTTTTTAAAGCATGCCCCAACCACCATTTGTGTGGATCCACTCCCTCCAGTCCTCTGAAGGAGTTTTCTCAGTCTGCTTCATCTCCTCTCCTACAGCAGACCAATGTAGTTGATCTTTCTCACACTTTGTGTAGCACACCCAGCTCCCCTGTTCTCCTTGTAGATCTTGTCTGAAGCCCATCCACAGTAGTGCTGCAAGCCTTGCACTGTGCATGCAGCCCCAACACGGGTTGGGAGACAGACATCTGGTCTAACTGCAGACCCAGCCCATCAACAGAAACTTCAGGTGACCGCACAGGGAAAGCACTCTTGACTTTGGTGCTAACACAGCTCTGGCAAAAGACTGCTCTGGCTCCATCCAAGCCCAAGGTGGCCCCAGACCAGCCTACTAACAACACAAGGATCAAACCCTGCCCACCCAGGCAGAGAGAGCCATTGTAGGTGACTAGCCTGAAGGAAAACATGGCTCAGCCACAAAAGCAGGGCATACACAACACACATAAGAGACACCCCTGAAATGCCAGGTTCTGGTGAATAGGAAACATTGCACTGCAGGGCATTACACGACCTCTTGTTTATTAGGGCATTACTTTCAAGAGCAGATGAGTTTCCTAACAAAGAATTAGACAAAATGAGAAGGAATAAGTAATATACCTAATAGAGAAAGTAGTGATCATAAAGATGATCATTGTATTTGAGAAAAGAGTGGAGGATATCAGTGAGGCCCTCAACAAAGAAATACAAAACATAAAAGAAACAATTTAGATATGAAGAACTCAATAAGTGAAATTAAAAATATACTAGAGGGAATAAATCATAGCTGGAGGATGCAGAAGAATGGATCAGCGACCTCAAGGACAGTGTAATGGAAAGCAATCATGATGAACAGAAGAAAGAAACAGATCATAAAAAATGAAAATGGATTGAAGGAACTCAGGACACTATCAAGTTTATTAACATTTGCATTATGAGGATCCCAGAAGGAAAAGAGACAAATGGGAGCAGAAAATTTATTTGAAGAAATAACAGCTAAAAACTTCCTTAGTCTGGGGAAGGAACTAGACATGTAGATCTAGGAAGCACAGAGGGCTCCAGACAAAAGCAACCCAAAGATGTCCACACCAAGACACATAGTAATTAAAATAGCAAAAAATAATGATAAAAAGAAAATTTTTAAAAGCATCAGGAGAAAAGAAAACAGTTACATAAAGAAAACTCCTTAAGGCTTCAGTGGAGTTTTCAGCAGAAAGGAGTGGCTTGATATATTCAAAGGAAAAAAAAAACATAAGGATACTCTATCCAGCAAGGCTATTATTCAGAATAGGAGAGATAAAGGATTTCTCAGACAAACAAAGTTAAAGGAACTCATCACCATTAAACATAATAACAAACAAGGAAGTAATCAACAGTAATGTAATAGTAGAGACTTTAATACCCCACCTCCATCAATAGAGAGATCATCCAAACAGAAAAATCAACAGAACAGTGACTCTGAATGACACATCGGAACAGATGGATCTAACAGATATACACAGAACATACCATTCTAAAGCATAAAATACATTCTTTTCAAATGCACAAAGATTATTCTCCAAATAGATCACAGATTAACAAAATTGATAAATCTTAGCCATACTCATCGAGAGAAAACTCAAACAAAATCAGAATTGAAAGAGAAGAAATAACCATCAGAGAAATACAAAACATTTTAAGACATTATTAAAAATTATATACCAACAAATTAGACAACCTAGAAGAATTGGATAATTGCCTAGAAACTTAGAACCACCCAAAACCAAATAAAAAAGAAACAGAAAATTTGAACAGACTGATTACCAGCAATGAAATTGAATAAATAACCTAAAAACACCCAAAAAATAACAGTCCATGGCCAAATGACTTCAGAGGTAAATTCTACCACATGTTTAAATACTTAATACTTATTTTCAAAGTGTCCTAAAAAACAGAAGAGTTAAAAAAAAAAAAAACCTTCCATATTCATTCCGAAGCCAGCATTATTCTGATACCAAAAGAGACACCACAATAAAGAACCACAGGCCAATATTTCTGATGAACATAGATATGAAATTCCTCAACAAAATAAATCCATCAATATGTTAAATAAATTATCCCCATGAACAAGTGGGATTTCTTTCTGTGAAGCAAGAAAAGTTCAATACTTGCAAATCAATCAATGTGATATACCACATCAAAAACAGACTAAAAACTGTGTAATTTCAGGGCACCTTGGTGGCTCAGTTGGTTAGGCATATCTGCTTTGGCTCAGGTCATGATCTCAGGGTCCTGGGATGGACCCCCAAGTTGGGATCCCTACACAGTGGAGTCTGCTTCTCCCTCGCCCTTTGCCCC